ACTTTATGTTCTAAATTATGTACGATGATCTTTCTTCCTTTTGATTACATTGCATACCCAGTCAGACTGCAGGCTCTCTGAAGGCATGCTCTGCAGTTTCTAGCACAGCCTTCCCAGCAGAGAGAGAAAATGGGGTCAGCAATTGGTTGAGCTAGCACTTCATCCCAAGTCCTACTGTCTGGGAGAAAGGATTCAAGAAGAATAGGGGGCAAGAGATGAGAAGAGATAAGTTACAGAGAAATGTGAGGATTCGTTCCAACCACCACATTGGTAAACACCATTCTAGCATGCCATTTCTCCTTTAAAGCAGGATGGATGACCAAAGGCGACAATAAAGTCCTTGAGCTGCTGACGCCACAGGGTTGACTGGGCATGCTCATCAACTAGCCAACTTGCTTCTGAGCTTAAGCCTCACTTGATACAACAAAATTACAAGTTAGCAAACAGCATGGACTATTGAAATTATACTCATTTCAATGAAATAAAAATGTTAAATCCAGAATGCCAAAAATTACTCTAAGAAGAAGGGACTTGTTGGCCTTTATCGACTTAAATTCCTTGAATGGTCTTTGCTAAACTCACTGCTATCTAAAGAGCATTCCTCAGTGACACTTCACCCTTAAAGATGTTTCTGGAGAGTTTAGGATGCAACTGTGTGTGCGTATGTGTGTGTGCTTATGTGTATGTGCTTGTGTATTGCAGTATGTTCACCATTTCCTCCTTCAGTTCAGTGTATTATATCTCTTTTCCTCTCTGCCCCTTACTTCTCCTCAATTCCTTGCCGCCAAATGGCAGGGCTTGCTGGGACTGAGGCGTTAGCTCAACTAATTGCTGACAGGTTTGCTATTCTGTCAAATTCAAATCAGAAGGGTCTGATTCACAGAGCTGTTCCCACCAAACGTTACGTTACCACATGCATGAAGGTGCTCTGAAGTGTCATATGTAATAGAAGACTGCCTCTCTCCTCCAGTCCCTTCAGATTTTACAGAAAAGCAAACGGACAGAAGTAAGCCTCACGGTGGTCTTCCTAGGGAAAAGAAGTTTCAGAATTCCCATCACTTGTGTATTTCTCTCTTGCGATGGCAGTCTCTCTGACACTGACCCTCTTCATGTGCCTGGCCTACTTCCCAGGTCAGATTGCAAGTTGCTTGTTCACAGGGACTGTGCTTCACTCACCTACATATGCCCTAAGGGGCCTGTGACACATCAAGCAGTCTCTTGGAGGAAGGAATGTTAGTCTCTGCCTGCTGTGTCTTGGTGGTACAAAAATGTGTTAAATTTAATTTCCATTCAGCTTGTTGATTTCTGTCTCATTACCTTACACTCATATACTGAAAACAGGTATTTTTGGCATCAGCTGGTAGGTCTTTCTTCACCTAAACAGAATTTATGAAATTTCTGTCCAGACATCTAATTATAGCAGTTCTGATTCCTTGGAATCTGGTTGATTTGGGAGTTGGCTTCTCCTAAAAAGGGCAGACTTTGGAGATTGAGTGCTGGCTCCACCTCTTGCCAGCTGTGATACTAACAATCTGAGCCTCAATTATCCATCTGTAAAATAGGTATGCTAATACCAACCACATAGTGATTCCATGAGGAATAGGAAAATGTGGAAAACACCAGTGCCTCCCTACAGGAGGCCCTTGCTCAGTATTTACTCCCTTCTCTCTATACTGCCACCCTCTCCATTACTGCTCTCACATTTCCATAATTTTCAGTCTTCTGAAATGTGTAGCTCATGACATTTTGCAGTAATAAACTCTTGAACTCATCACTAATACTAATTGCCCCACTTCTGTTGTCCTAGCTGGCTTCAGCTCCGAGCTCTTCTCCTTCCCTGGATATCTGCAACTCTGACGTTGATGACCCTTCAGGTGACCTCTCTGGCTCCAGAGACTCTGACTCTGAACATAGTGCCCACCCAGGCCTTGGGGCTGTCCCTGGTCAGCCGGATTCTGGCAACTTCACCCCCACCTGCTCCCTCCATTTATTTCATTCAATATAGAAAGCATGGCTTACTGAACAAAATAAATGAAAGGATCTTAGAGGTAGATCTAAAATATAGTTCTCATTGTTACTGAGTAGTTAGAGAAGGGGTAAACAAATCCAAAAAACTGTCTTGATGCAAATAGGAAATTCCATTTTGTTCCAAACCTTCCTAAGGTGCTCTCATTCTGCAATGTCATTTTCATAGCATTCTGCTGTTAACTTGTTTTCCTGCATTACTGAATGGCTACTACATCGTCTGTTTTATTTGCCGTTGTTTGTTAAATATAAGAATTTACTTTGAAGGTGATTTCAATATGATAAATGTTATAGCTATTTATCTTGTGAGTCTAATATTGCCAAGTGTAACTTTGACTTTAGTCAAGTTCCATATTCTCCCAAGTCAGCCACTATCCTTTTCATAAAAATCCCCAGCTTTCTGGTAAGATGGCTCTTTCTCATTGTATATATTATTGCTTTCTAGTAAAGAAGGTCAAACTAGGATTTTGAAGGTTATGCTTGTTTTGTTCTGTGACATCCTCTATTTCTAAACTGTCTCCAGATTTACACATTTCTATCAGATGTTTTCATGAATTCACTCTATCTGTTTCCTGTTTTCTACTCTACCTTCCTGCTTCAGTCATTTGGTAACTAGAACCTAAAGCTATCCTTTAATACTCTCTCTGCTTTCAAAGAGCATAGTGTCCTGTACTAGCTCCTTGTTACCTCCTGCATCAAGCCCAGACTTGCTCTCGGGCTTTCAGATTCCCTAGAAATATGCCACCACTTCCACACAAATATTTCTTCAGCATGTACTCTACAATTTAGTGAGAACATTTTTATTATCATTCCTGTTACACACTACACACATTCCAAATTCTTGCCCTTTGCCAAGATCTTCCCCCAACTTGGAAATGTTTCCTCTTTTGTCTCTTCCTGCCTCATCTCTTCTGCACTGCAACTTAAGTTCAGCCTCTGCCTGTCTTGTTCACCACTGTATCCCAGTATATAGAACATTTCCTGGCACATAACAAAGTCTCAGCACAGATTTATACTCTTACCAATTGACTGTCCTTCAAAGCCCACTTCAAAGCTAATCCTTTTCTTAACTTAAACTATTTTCTATTAAATCATTCATCTTAGTTTTCACCAGCATACCATAAGTTCCTTGAAGATGGAAGCCATCACTTGTATTGCTTTGCATCTCCCAGGGTGCTGTGATAATGTGAGGAAAGGAAATATCATGCTCTGGAGAAAATTATATAGGCATGACCCAAGGATGATTCATAAAATATATATAAATTGATTGCCTACTATTTGTCAGGAACTATTCTAACACCTGAGATGATAACCTGGATGAACTGAATTCTAGATCTATACTGCCACTACCTAAATAGCCTCTGGCGATACACTTAAATTCTCTGAGTTTTGGACTTCTATAGAAACTAAGAGGGTTAACCTGGGTTACCTCTAATGTCTTTTCCAGTTTAGTGTTCTCTGAATTTTAAATACTTATAGATTTATGAATGATGTTCAATAAGTATTTACTGATTAAATAATACAATCTTTCCCCTTCCAAGCCCTGATTGTTACCTGAAATAGTAGGAACTATTTTCAGTTTCTTATCATTTCTTTATTTGTTCAACAAATGAATATTCCTGTGTGATGAGCAGTGTGCTAAAAATGCTAGAGGTACACCAATGAACAAGACACAATACCTGCACCCTGACTTTAACACATTTTAGATTTTCCATAATTGAAAAGATTAAGTTTGTACTCCAAAGGTAAAATCATTAACAATTACAATATAAGTTCAAAAGTAACTTTCTTATAAAGGCCACATCAATGCCAAAAAGCAATTATATAAGTGATTCGATATCACACTGGACTTACTCAGGACTAAGTAATAATAGTATTTTTCTTATTTGATCGTAAAGCAAAATCATTAAAGTTAGAAGAACATTTTATAACTTTTTACAAAATAAATGTAGTATAGCCTATATGCATTAAAAGAAATCCAGTGGGATTCTCCTAATATTGAAATGCTTCATTTGCAAGCCAAATGTGAAATGGAAATCAACAACTTTCAGCAAGAAGCATCCAAAGACAATTTTGGATTGTCATATACTTTTCTGTAAAATAGTCCACAACTCAATTCACTAATTTGGGGGGGGGGACAACCTCTCTTTAGACTGTTCCAACTTTGATTTACATCTTTAAAAAAATAATTCCCTCCCCCCAGTTTTATTGAGGTATAACTGACAAATAAAAATTATATGTGTTTATGGTATAAAAAGTGACGTGATAAACATGTACATTGTGAAATGATTATCATTCTCAGGTTAATTAACATATCCCTTCACCTCGCATAGCTACCTTTATTTTGTGGTGAGAACATTGAAGATCTACTTTTGACACTCTTCTTAATCTAGCTGGGATTCCGGATTGGAAAGGAAACTTTGGTGACCTTTATACTTTATTTCTCAAAACCTTAAAAAGTGGTTTAGCTGACTTCATTCAACAGACCTTAAAACACTCCTTTGTCTGAGATTGCAGCTAGAATGTATTGTCCAAGACATTTTCTATACAGAGCCTTTTTGCTATCTTCATTTTAAGCCTTGCGTTGAACTATCCCTGTGCCTAGGGTTCCAGCAAGCTGGTTCTCCTGCTCTGACTCTAAGAGACTCATGATGCCTTTTACTCTTTCCCTGTAACTGTACTTGTTAGCAAATGAGCCTCCGGAGCTAAAAAATTGATTTTCAGCTAATAGGTCTTTTTAACAAGTTTAGATGGTTTAACTAAAGTAGGAATTCTTTAAACTTTCAATGTTAGAACATGATCATATTTTATAAATATCTCTTTTGAATTAACAAAATGAGAAAAATTGGAGTTAGCTTTTTTGGAGCCCAATTAATCTCTGGAGTAAATAAATGGTGTCTATTGTCCTTTTCCTTGAAGAGCCAATTGATTTAGGATATAGTAAGGCTTACTCAAAGTCTACTTTTTTTTTACAGTCACAATATTCTTCTTTATGAGGATGGGCATGCTGTGGTAGCAGATTTTGGAGGTGAGATTTCCATGAGTAATACTCCAAGTGACATCTATTTCTTTCTTCATTCTTATTTGGTGCCTGATTACTGTACAAAGAATCTGAAAATGGATTTTACACTGACAGCTATATGCCTCTAATGTCATTCAGATTTTAATGACCCTAAATTTTGAAAGTCTGTCATTTATACCTATTTTTTTCTTCTTTGATATTCCCAGCCAAGAGAAAGGAAGTGAGAATTTGAATAAGACAGAGGTTTCTTGAGGTTTCACAATTTTGGCTATGTTCTTTGACCTTAGAGATATTTCCTTTGATATGAAATTGTTTTCTCTTTCCTTCAGAATCAAGATTTCTACAGTCTCTGGATGAAGACAACATGACAAAACAACCTGGGGTTTGCTGCTGCTTGTGTTTCCTATAATTATAAACCAATTAAAATGTGTAAACTCAGCATGAGAGGAAGAAAGATGAGAGCAGCTTTAACTGGAAAAAATGTCATTGTCTCAGTGGCAGGATAATGTCTTATGTTTTTATCTTTAGTAAGCTCCCAAAATAACTATTTCAAGGCTCTGCTAGAGAAATAGATAAGATATATATTTGGAAAATGTTAGACAAAATAATACAGAATATGTTTCAAATATAACTGAAAAGCACTTGTTGGTCATGGATCACCTCATATTTACATCACCTTACTACTTATAGTAACATTTAATAGTAACTAACTATAATATATACATATATTATAATTACATAATTATGTATAATATATAATAGATGCTCATCAGCATCTATTAACTATTCATAGTTTTCCACTTTAACATTATAAGGCAATAGGAGGTAGTATAGTCAAATATTAATGTTTAAGTGAAATGTAAATTATAACATCTGAAGCAAGGATAGTTGTACTCAAAACCTCAGCAATTAAATTCATTACCTGCTGCTTCCTCAACCCTTCTCCCCTCCTCCCAACCTCCCCCCACCAAAAAAAAAAGTACACTTCTCCTTTTGGACTACCTGTGATAACTAATTACCCAAGCTTGGAGTAATTTTTCATTCCTTTCTTTTCCTGCTTCTGCTTACACATTACTCACTTTTTCTGTGTGTGTGTGTGTGTTTTTTTTTTTTTAAGTTCCTCCCAACCTCTTAAACCTCACATTTACAGCTGGCTCAGTGTAGATCCTTATCACCTCTTTGCTAGACTCTTGCACTAGGTTTCTAATTTCAGTCCTCTCTTCCAGTACATTCTTTGTAAGATCAACTAAGTAGTGCTATTCAGACAATTCTCTTTTTCCTATAAACCCTCTATCACACCCCACTATCTACAGGCAAAAATCCAAATTCCTATGCCTGACAGCCTCTTGCCCTCCCCAGTCTGGCCCCAGGGCCCCTCTGTGACCTGTTCATTCACCATCCTTCACCATAAATTTCTTCAAGTCCCCTGTGACCGAGCACAAAAACCACCTGGCTATCCCCAAACATGCCATTTACTTTCCCATTCCATGACTTTGCTAGCATGGTATCCACAGCCTGGAAAGCCCTTCGCTGCACCCCACCTGGATGAAATCTACTCATTTCACAAGGCTCAGGCAAATTTCATCCATTCTAAACAGGGTCCTGTCTATAACCTGCCCCTGGCCTCCACACACACACGCTCTTCTCTCTGTGCTTTTGTATGACTTTGCACTATTTGTTTGCACACATATTTATTCATTTAATAAACATTTATTGAGGTTCGGGCATTATGCAAAAAGACAGGAATGGAAAATGTGAATAAAAACTTAGTCCTTGACCTCAAGAAGTTCATTTTCTAGTGGAGAAAACATAGTAGTAAGCAGATAGATTTAAAGCAGTGTGGAATTTCAATGATAGAAGAATTACATGAGATTACCATAATCAGAATACAGATATTCTTGAAAAGCTGAAATTTTGCATGATTTCAAAATAAAGTAGACATTTCAAAAGAATTATCAGCAATCAGCACTACACATGAGATTTCAGTAAAAGTAATAAAAGAATAATGATTTTTTTCAGTACATGTACAAAGGTTTTTAGCAAAGTTCATTGATAAGATATGGAGCCATCAGATTTTAGAGGTGAAAGGGGCTTACTCTTCTGTCTTGTTCTTGATGCATTAATGTTTAAGTAAAAACATTAGGTCTAGGAAGCATAAGCAGATTGCCCAGAGCTGCTCAGTCAGTGGTAGAGCCAGAACTAGAATTTGCATCTCCTAACTCAAAGACTAATATTCTGTACCCTAAACTACAAATAAATGAATTTTATGCATTTGCATACTAGAATGGAAACTAATTTTTTAAACTGAAGAATATGTAATTTCAAATGAAAAAAAGGTAAATATGTCATTCAAAGATAGGGTAGAACTTTGTACAGAGAAACTTGTAACATTTTACAGATTTTTTTTCTGGAATATTGCACAGACAGCATTCAGAAATAGCACATCTGGGCAAAAAAGAAAATAAGACAGACCTGATCCTGCTGATGATAAATCTACTTCATAGAGATATTCTGGGCACTCCTCTATAGCTGTTTCTCTCCTTAGCCTTGAGAGCACTATTTATGGGCCTAATTTAGTAACTTCCTAAATTGTAACTTGAAGACTTAAAGGAGGTGCCTCCCACGCTGTGGGATTCACTCCCAGGGAGGCCTAGGGTCCCTGGATGAATCTATGGTTGGCTATTCTGAAGCTTGTAAGGCTTCTAAGGAGAAAGATGCTCACAAATAAACAAAAAACACTGCCATTGTGACAATCATTTTACAAGAGGCAGAGCTATTTGATGATTAATATTTGTGTGATTTTTTGGGAAGAATTATGAATTTTGTGATCTTCCAATGATTAAAAAAGATGTCCCTTGAGAAACTGAAAAACCACAGTAAACCAACTATGTATGTATATAAAGGAATTTATTGCACACATTGAGGGCAGTGCCAATGTTATTGTACATCTCTGTTTTGAGAACATTGGGAGAACACTTAACAAATCCTCACTAAGAAAGTACTACTCTGCCTCAGAAGAGCTAAGCATTTGGTAAATGGCTTGTGAATGTTTTCTGACACACAGAACCTCCGTTGGATGGCTCCTGAGGTGTTCACGCAGTGCACCCGGTACACCATCAAAGCCGACGTCTTCAGCTACGCTCTGTGTTTGTGGGAACTTCTCACTGGCGAAATTCCATTCGCTCATCTCAAGCCCGGTAAGGCATGCTGCAATTAAAATTTTCCTGATTCCTAAAGTTCATTGCATTTTAACAACCTCAGGAAATATTTTTCCCCCAAAACGATCATTCTCAGTGGGATGACAAAGGAGGAGTTAAGTAAACAATCCAAAATTGTTCTAAGGTGTGTGTACAATCCAGAAAACTGAATGATTTAATTCTGTGATTTCAAACACAGGCACATAGAAGTGTAGGTATATCTTGCTAAAGTTAAGGGCTTTGATTATCTGTTGTTAATAAAACAAGCAAATGACTATGGCTGTGTGATATGTGGGGGCAAATAAAGTGGACAGTGCTATATTTATTGAGATTAGATTTTAGAATTGTACTTTTAATATGTACATAGGAGCAGGAAAGTAGCAACGAAAAATAACCTATTAGGGCTGCTCTCTGCTTATCTCACATTATTCAAAAGAAAATTGATTTTCTTAATAATTTTGTATTTATATTATGAATTTATTCCAAAACTGGAGCATGATGAGCCATTGATGATATATGTTATACTCTGCTTATATGAAGAAAGTGAAGGTGAGGAATGTAATCACAAGCAAAATGTATACATATTTTTGGTTTAAAGTAAACTTTATCTGCATATGTTTTCGTGTCATTTGGATTGCTCTCATATCTTGCCACAGGAGACAGGAATCTCTGTAAGGACTTTGCATTCCTGGAACTTAGTATGCTTGAAAAGTAGTTGTCAAATGAAGTCACAAATAAATTTTAAATGAATTGTAATCATTTAATATAACTAAATTATATTAAATATAACTTATTTAATTTAACTCCTAATGGTCACCTATAACAATATATCAAAAGGATAAAGTCCAAAGGGACGTTTGTTAAACATCCTTTTTAACAAGCGAGAAGTCTTAACCAGCATCCCAACATTAGGGTGCCGAATCCTATCCACTAGACCACCAGGGAGCAGCAAGCATCATAATCTGTATTGGTACTCATGTACAGACCAAAAGCCACATCTAATATTCTCTTTTCAGGGTATTTTTCCTGATAATACTCTGTGGTCTTTTAATTACACTCTGCAGACTTACTAACAGAGAGCATTTTACAAATTATGTGCTCTGTACATAATTTATTGAGCAAAGTGATGATGTATCCTTCCTAAGTATTCTCTATATACTTTCTACAATTTTAAATAATGAGATTTAGCCTTTATTATACGTGAATGTATAGACTCTATTTTTAACTAATAACACTGCCATAAGTCTTGTTCTCTAACTCTTAGAGTTTGCATTATGATAAGACTGATGGATATATATAAAAGCAATTATAGTTCTAGATATACTGTGATATTTTTTTCATGAGGGAGAAATATATCTCATTACCACTCACCTCCATGTCAATCCATTAACATGGTCCCATTGATTTTACTTCCTAATATGTCTTGAATTTATTTACCACTTACTATTATCCATCACCATCATATCTTTCACTTGAACTACTGCAATAGTATAGTCTTTTGAAAAAATCAGGTTTACAGGAAAGGACACAACAAAAAAGACCAACAAAATACTAGCAAACTGAATTCAACAGCACATCAAAAAGATAATTCACCTTTATCAAGTGGGTTTCATCCTAAGGATGCAAAGATGGTTCAACATACATGAATTAATTATTATAATTTACCACATAAAGAGAATTAAAAACAAAAACCATATCATCATCTTAATATATGCAGAAAAAGCATTCAATAAAATCTATCACACATTTATGATAAAAAGTATTTAACAAACTAGGCATAAAAGGAACATATCTCAAAACAATAAATGCCATATATGACAAACTCTCAGCCAACATCATTCTGAATGGGGAAAAATTGAAAGAATTCCCTCTAAGAACTGGAACAAGACAAGGATGCCCACTGTCACCACTTCTATTCAACAGAGTATTGGAAATCCTAGCCAGAGCAATCAGGCAAGAGAAAGAAAGAAATTGGAAAACAGGAGGTCAAACTATCCCTGTTTGCTGATGATATAATCTGATATCTAGAAAACCCCAAAGATTCCTCCAAAAGACTCCTACAATTGATAAATAATTTCAATAAAGTTTCAGGCTACAAAATTAATATACACAAGCCAGTAGCATTTCTGTACACTAATAGCAGTCAAGCAGAGAGTCAAATCAAGAACTCAATGCTATTTACAATTGTTGCAAAGAAAATAAAATATGTAGTAATATACTTACCAAAGAGGTGAAAGATCTCTACAAGAAGAACTACAAAATGCTGATGAAAGAAATCATAGAGGATACACACAAATGGAAAAGCACCCACGCACATGGATTGGAAGAATCAACATTGTTGAAATGTCCATACTATCCAAAGTGATTTACAGTTTCAATGCAATTCCCATCAAAATACCAATATCATTTTTCATGGAACTAGAAAAAACAATCCTAAATTTCACATGGAATCAAAAAAGAGAACAAATAGCCAAAATAATCCTAAGGAAAAATAACAAATTAAGAGGCATCATATTACCAGATTTCAAATTATACTACAAGACTATAGTAATCAAAACAGCATGGTGATGGTATAAAGGTAGACACATAGATCAATGGAACAGAATAGAGAATCCCAGAAATAAAAGCATATAGCTACAACTGATTTTTTACAAAAAATATGCAATCACACACTGAGTAAAGGACATCCTATTCAATAAGTGGTGCTGAGAAAATTGAATAGCCTCATACAGAAGAATGAAACTAGATTCTTATCTTTCACTATATGTAAAAATTAACTGAAGATAGATTAAAGACTTAAATGTAAGACCTGAAACTATAAAAATTCTAGCAGAAACACAGGAAAAACTCTTGGACATTGCCCTCGGCAAAGAATTTATTACTAAGACCCCCAAAGCAAACACAGTAACAGAAGTTTGCATTTATAAGTAATTAATTCTTTTTTTTTTTTTTTTTGAGACAGAGTCCCACTCTGTCACCATGGTGGAGTGCAGTGGCATCATTGTAGCTCGCTGCAACCTCAAAGTACTGAGCTCAAGTGATCCTCTTGCCTTAGTTTCCTGAGTAGTTGGTACTACAGGTGCATGCCACAATGCCTAGCCAGTTTTTCTATTTTTAGTAGAGGTAGGGTCCTGCCCTTGCTTAGGCTGTTCTCAAACTCCTGACTTCAAGCAATCCTCCAGCCTCAGGTTCCCAGAGTGTTAGGATTACAGGTGTGAGCCACTACACCCAGCCATCAGTAATTTATTCTTTTCACTGCTGTATAATATTCCACGTTGTAGCTATGACTCAATTTGTTTATGCATACACAAGTTTATGATTATTTGCATTAATCTCACTTTTAGGCTTTGAATAAACTTGCTAAAATAAGTGAGGTCTTTGTGTGGTTGTTTTTATTTCTTTTGAATAAATGCATAATAGATGGAATACTACATCTTATGATGAGCTTTCCCAAGGTGTCTATACCATTATGGATTCCTAGCAGTAGTCTATGAGAATTTCAGTTGTTTCACATCTTTGCAAGCACTTGCACTGTCTTTTTGAAAATATATACATAATTAGCCATTTTAGTAGGGGCATATGGTATATCATTGTGCTATTATTTAACATTTCTTTAATGACTAATAATGTTGATAATATTTTCAAGTACTTTTTTGCTATCCATATATCTTTTGTGAAACAGTTGTTCAAAATTGTCTTATAATTAGGTGTAAGAGTTCTTACATTCTAAGTAGAAGTCCTTCGCCTACTATATTTTTTACAAGGATTTTCCTGTAATCTGTAACTTGCTTTTTCATATTCGTATCATTATCTTTCAAAGAGCACAGGCTTTTAATTTCAATGAAGTCCATCTTCTAAAATTTTAAATCAATTTTTCTGTGCCCTATCTAAAATATTCTTGCCTCACTCAAGACCACAAAAAATTCCACCTATGCTTTCTTATAGAAGTCTTATAGGTTTAGGTTTTATATTTATAAGATTCATTTTGAGTTCTTTTTTAATAGTATATAGCATAGGTTTAATTTGTCACTTTTATTAATATTTATTTGTGTTTTTTAATATGGATTTCCAATTGTTTCAGCATGATGTATTGAAAAAACTATCCTTTCTTCATTAAATTATTTGGTACCTTTGTTAAAAATTAGGTAACCAAATATGGTTATATATGGTTATGGTTATGGTTATATTATCTTATATGGTTACCTGATAGCTTATAGTTAAGTATTGAAATCAGGTAATCAGTCAATTTCTTTGTCTATTTAGGTATTTTTGCTTTTCTATATAAATTTTAGAATCAGATTGTCTATTTGTACCAAAAAAAGTTTTTGAAATTTTGACTGGATTGCATTGAATCTGTAGATCAGTCTGAGAAAAATAGACATCATGAGCATGTACAGTCTTCAGCTCAATAAACATAGTATGTCTCTCCCTTCATTTAGGTTCTCTTTAATTTCTGTCATCGTGTATTTTGTAGCTTTTAACATCAAACTTTCCATATATTTTTAGAGTTCTCTCTATATGTTTTGTAGGCTTTGATGCTATTGGAAATGTTATTTTTAAAAAATGTCCATGTCCAATGGTTCTTTGCTAGTATATAGAAATATAATTAATTTTTTATAACAACGTGGCACCCTAAAAACTGGCTAGATCCACTTATCCTTTCTAGTTTCTCTTTTGTATATTCTTTGGGATTTTTTAATACATAGATGATTACATGATCTTGTGAATAAGAAACTTTTATTGCTTTCTTCCCAGTCTGTGTGTCCTTTATATCTTTTTCTTGCCTTCTTGCACAGGTGAGGATTCCCAGGTTGAATAGAATTAATAAAATATATACCTCATATGTATTTCTCAAACTTTCACCCATCACTACCCTGGTTCAAACTGCCAGTCTTATCACTTAAATTTCTGAAACTGCCTTTGGCTGTTTTCCCTCTGTTTATTCTTATTCTCTCTCCCTCTCCAATCTCTACACATCTGCTGAAATGGTTTCTTTAAAACATAAATCTGATTATGTCACGATTGCTCAAAGTTATCCTATGGTTTCTCTTATTCTTAGGATTAATTTCCAAAATTTTTGTTATGTCCTGCTCGACTCTACCTGACCCTATACCTCTCATCTTACTCTTACCATATTTAAATTTCATCTGGCCTCTAGACCTTTTTTCAAGTTCTGTTACCTCAGCAAGTGCAATTAATGATGACTATCACAAAAATACTATCAGGGTTAAATAAGAATGAAGTTTGTGACTGAATTTTGTAAACTGGAAACTCTCTGCAACTCTAAGGGAAAAGTGTAATACAAGGTCAAGTCTTCCTATGATTCTGTACTTGATAGCATTCTCATTCTCTAGAAAGCCCATATGTAATAGAAATCTCAAATTCATCCTTGACTCTTTTCTCTTTCTTGACTTTTTTTGAAGGGATGTGGTCTTGCTCTGTCACCCCAGACTGCAGTGCAGTGGAGTGATCATAGTTCACTGTAGTCTCGAATTCCTGGGCTCAAGCAATCCTCCCTCATCAGCCTCCCAAGTAAACAGGTTAAAGGCACGAGCCACCACACCAGGTTCCCACTCTCTGCCTCTCAAATACATCCACTTATCTCCATCTCCAATGCTGCTTCCTTATTTCACATGTAGAAAATACTGCACAGTATCTTAAATAGTATCCTGTCTTCAGTTTTGCTCATCATCTTTTCCTCCACCAGTCACTCGATTTAGCTTTCTAAAAATTCGGTTTGATCATATGGCTTCCCTGACTTAAAATCCCCAGTGTTTTTTCTTTGCTCTTAAGATAAAAACAAGATACCTTAAAACAATCCACAAAGCCCCTCGTGATTATGTCCCTGCCTTCCTCCCCACGTCTCCTTCTTGCCACATGCAGCCTGTCATCTCTAGTCATCCCAACCACAGGGAACTATTTCATTTCCCCAGCATGTTTCCCTCACCTCCATGCTTTTGTACGTATTAGTCTCTTTGTCAGAGACACTCTGCCCCACTTTTCATCATACTAACTCCAATTTAATTTTAGATCTTAGCTTAAATATAACATCTTTCAAAAACATATTTCTTAATACTCCAAAGTTTCCTCCATATCCCAAGCCACCATTTATCATAATATTTATCATATTTTACTCACATAGTTTTTCAATTTTCTCTACTCCATTATGCTTTGCTAATTATAAAATTAATATTTCAAGGGGATAAAGACCCACCTCTCTCACAGACCCCTGTAAATATTTACTTTTTAGGGGGAGAATATTATTTAATAAAAAAGTTAAAAGTCTTGCCTAAGAATAACTTGATTCAACTATCCTAGATATTAAAATGTATAGTACTTTATTGGAAAGAAAGTTTGTTTATGATAGATGCTGAATTTTTTAAAGTTGGACAGTTACCATGAATCAAGAAACAAGATGGCTAATATCATTGCAGTGGTTAGGCAATCTAGCATATGTTCAGCAATAAATTATGTGAAGCATCAGATTCAATATAAGCTACATATCAGCCATTTACAATGAGGAGCAAATCCATGACTACACTGTGAGACAGCATTATCAATTATGGTAGTAGCAACATTACTGGGGCTCATCCTTCTGTATTTAGCAGCAGACAGCCTCCTGGGAGAAATATAAAAGTAGAACACCAATATTAGCATTGACTCCTACACAAGTGATAAGTAAACCTTCAGAAGATCTTGAAGTTAGGGTCTTTTTTGCATAGCACATGTTCAAATTAACTTTATAATCTCAGGTTTAGAAAGAACTGAGAATCCATCACATCTACCACCTTAAGGGTCAAATTAAAAGGGTCAAAGTAAAGGGCCAGGGAAGCATGCAAATGCTCAAAGTAGAACAGTGTGATGAATAGGAAGTCACATGCCTTGTCAAGGGGACAGCTGCTACCCAGCTCTACCCACATAAAGCTGAGCAGGAATGTAAGTATGCCTGCTCACTGTTACCCCATATCAATTATCTCTGTTTGTTTGTTTAGAAATAAAGATTTTTCAATGTCAGCAATTTATTCAGTTTTTTAAAGAAAGAACATTTTGTAAGCTGACACTGTAGGGGCTAAAGAGAATTGGCATAATGTGGAACAGCATGAGTCTTGCAACTTTGTGCAAATAACTTAACCTACCTATACCTCAGTTTATTTTTTAAATAGGACCTACCCCAAAAGGTTGAAGCAGTGGTTAACAATAGTAAGCACTCAATAAATGTTAGCTATTATTTATTAATATTACCTTTAGGCCACCATTGAGCACTTCCTATGGGCCAGAAACTGTGCTAGAGTAAGAGTAAAATGAAGAAGAATAAGGCATTGACCAGGTGCTCAAACTACTCATAATGAAGAAGGGAATGAAAAAGTACAATCAGCAGAATAAGTACCAACTAGAGAGAAGCACAGAGGGCTAAGGAGACTGGAGGACGTAAAAGGATATCAGGGAAGGATTGATAGAGCAGACGATACCCGATCTGCATCTTAAAAAGATGACTTCTAACTAAGTAGGTAAACAGTGGGGAGGTGTGGAAGGTATTCTAGCAGAAAGTAGTATTAGCAAGGTCCAGAGCATGAGAAATTCACAAATAATTCAGTACGAATGAATCAGAAAATACAAAGGCATCAGTCGCCAAGACAGATTATATTTGTAAAACTCAGGTTAGATGGAGAAGGTCCTTGTGTAAGTCAAAGTTCTCCAGAGAAATAGAAGCAATAGGATACAAATATTTAGATATATAAGAGGGGATTTATTGTGGGGATTGGCTCCCACAATTATGAAGGCTGAGAAGTCCCATAATATTCCATCTGCAAAGTGGAGAACCAGGGAAATGGTGATGTACTTCAGCCTCAGTCCAAAGGCCTGGGCATCAGGAGGGCCACTGATTTAAGTTCCAGAGTCCAAAGGCCCAAGAACCTGAAGTTCTGATCATGAGAAGATGATATCCCTTCCAGAAGAGCGAGCTAATTCACCCTTCCTCTGCCTGTTTGCTTTATCAGGACACTCAGGGGTTGGATGATGCCTGCACACATTGAAGAGGGCAGATCATCTTTACTCAGTCTACTGACTCATATGTTATCTCTTCCAGAAACACTCTCTCTCACACACACATACCCAGAAATAAGGTTTTTCTAGCTATGTGGGTATCCTTAGCCCATTCAAGTTGACATATAATATTAATTATCACAGGTCTTGTGTGTGTCAACAATGGATATCATTGCAGAATTTTAAGGGATATGGTACAATTCTATTACTATTCTAGAATGCTCCCTCCCGTTACAAAATGAAGGCTGGATTGGAGAAGTTTAAAACCAGGAGCAAGGAGACCATTTCTTCTAGAAGAAATGTCTAAGACCTTAATTAGAGTAATGGCTTTGGAAGAGAAAGGAGGTTGGTTTGGGGAGATTTTGATAGGACTTCACAATGGATTGAGGTGGGGGCAAAAGGGAGAGAGAGGAGACAAGGGTGACTTCTAGGCTTCTGGCTTATCCAGCAGGATAATGACAGATACAGAAAAAGGAGCAGATTTGTGAGAGAAATGATGAGATCAGGAGGAGAAGGAGCCAAGGTGTGAAGCCAAGCAGAGAGAGAAGCACCAGGCAAGATGAAAAAAGAGCTGGTGCAACCTGGCAAACGAGCTGTCCTGGATACATTTTAGAGAAAGAAATAAACACCTGCTTCCTGTTTTATTCCTCTCCTGGGCTTGTCTCCTCTGATACATCATGAGAAACTAAAGAAGAAAGCTGAGATGAATTAATCCATCAATATGTATTTTATCCAATCTCTTTCCCTTATAACCAGGTATCCAATTTTGTGGCTCACTTTCAGATTATAGTCTGGGGCCAATAAAGAGAGCCTCCTGTTTTTCTTTTTTTTTTTTCCTGTGTGATGCCAGCTGGTTCACAAGGAGACTCAACTCTGTATCCTGGGATTCCTTAATGCCAGGCTCAAACTAAGTCTGGGATGTAGCAGCAAATTGAGAACATATGCCAATTTACTCTAGCCAGGTTTTGGTGAGACTTTATACTGAGACTTTAACTCAGAGTTGCAAACTGGAAGTCCAGGAGCCAAAGATGGCTTGTAGACATTTTTGCCTTGTATATATTTTTTTAAAAATATGAATCAAAGTACCTTTAGAAACAAAGCTATTCCACAGATCTCATATTGATAGACATTTGAGTCTGCTACCCCTCCTTAAATATTAGATGATTATGTTCCTCTTCATATTTGATTAGGATCCTAAAGCATCCTGAATATAATAAGCTCAAAGGGTATAAGCACACTGTGATATGGACTGTGTTTTGACAAGTGGTAAGAAAATAGGAGTGAGTTAAAGTTCTGAAATCCCATGTTTGTTGTGCCAATCCTTATCAGTTTATCACTGAAAAGAGTAGAACCAACCAATCATTACACAGATCACTGAAAAGATCAAATCAGTCCAATAGATGGTGATATTTTCGTGATATTAACATTCCAATACTTCATTACACTGACAAAGATTGCAATGAGAACAGACAATGGAGCAAATTAATCTATTCTTCTGACAGTATGTAATGAGAATGGGATGTGGTTTAAAAATTAAGCCATTCGTAGTGCAATCTCAAGATTACAATCTCATGGTCTCTCTCAGATGTTATATACTCTGGTGATACATCATTGAAAAGTGTCAGTTTAACAAAGAATGTGTCTTAGCTCTTGCTGGGATGGTAGAACACGCTTGCTTTGTCTCACCACAGCCCTGCCCGTTAAAAACAATAAAATAGAATCAATTGTGTTTTGCAGAACACACATACACACAATCAAATTGAAAAAAAAAAAACAGTCTGGCAATTTTTATTTCAGTCAAAACTTACTAACAAAATATTGTACTTTATTGCTCTCTTTTTTATCTTTTTAATATGAGAATGCCTAGATTTAATTTCATAAAACAGAAAACAGTGAGAGTTTACTTTAGGAATTCAGAATCTAGTAGTAATTTATGCATAAGCAGGGTATAGATAATTAAGTTCATCATGGAGAGCTGCATCATCATCCTCTCCATAATAGCCATATTGCATTATGGACTGAGCCTTATGACAGATGAGACAGTCAGTTTATAGCCTTAAAATTTGCAGTAACTCAATATAATATTGGTATTCACAGCCAAAGAGAACCTCAAAATGACCTAAGATTTCTGGTATTCTAAACAGAACAGAAAACACCATGATGTTTTTGATATTTAGCTCTCTAGATTCAGACTAAAAGGAATCAGTAAGACTCTAAGATCTGTAGATGATAATAATAAAGGCAACAACACAGATAACACTCGCTGAGAGCCAACAATGTGCCAGGTGCTCTCTCTTATCTCCTTCAGGATAATAGGAGTGGGAGCTATGCTCTGGAATTGTGCTATCCAATATGACAACTACTAACCAGAACTATTTACACTTAAATTCATATTAATTGAAATTAAACAAATTAAAAATTCAACTTCTCAATAATACTAGCCACATTTTAAGTGCTCAAAAGCCTTATGCTATCATATTGAACAGTACAGAAAACATTTTTGTCATAGCAGAAAGTTCTGTTAGTCCTGTTCTAAAATTTAGATTATAAGTTTTACTAAATGATTGGTAATTATCACAGGATAGTGTTGAAAGAATAATAGTTGCTCATTAAATATTTATTGATATTTTAAAATTTAACCTTATTCTCTTTTACTGGCAAAGTTTCATTTGTGAAAGGAGAAACCAACATTTACATAAATCCTTTAACATATTTTTGTAATAATCAAGGTAAAAATTGATTAATGGGTTGACAGTCACTTTCCTGAATTTGTAATACCAGAAAATTTCCCAGCTGTTAGTGTAGTAGGGCTATTTAGGCAGGACTGACAAAACAATCTCAAAGTGACAAATTTCGATTTCATAACCCCTCATGTTGCATTGCCCACTTTCTGGTGGAGGTGCTAATGAGTAGTATCACTGCCAAGAGTGCATAAAGCAAAGGGGAGAAGGCGATGCCAAGGCTTTTCAGAATCTACTTTGAATAATGAAAAATTAAATATCATTCATCTTAAACTGATTTTCCAGAAACAGTGCCAAGAGGCAAACAAGTAACTCTATATGCTTTATATTGGAATCTAAAAGTGTTTCATAGGGGGATGATTGCAACCTGCGTCTGAATTTAACTCATTTTATGAATAGTCTCTCCTCCACCCATTAGAGTATGTATAATTATTTTTAGTGTCCCCTATACTAGTTTATACAGCTTAAAGCTATACCAGCTGTACCAGCTCAACAATATCCAAATGATCATAAGGTAATAAAGTAGAGCAGAGTTAGAAGATCAATTATCACTAAGCATCAGTTTGTTTATTAATTTACCTCACTCCTGAAAGAATTAAAAATAGCCAAGAGTAACCAATGAAAGTTATCCAAAATGCTGTTTTGTGATGCAAATGACACATTTGATAAGTAAGAATACAATCTTAACAACAACAAATGACTGGATATATTTACCTCTCAATTTAGTAAAATCTTTTATAAAATAAGAAAGCCTAATTCTGGTGCAGATATGATAACCCTCTCACACACTCGCTATTGACAATATAAATTAATACAACTGTTAGGAAAATTGTTTATCAGTATATACCAAAGTCTTTAAAGTAGTTATGCTCTTTGACATATTATTTTTACCCCTCAAAATATCGTAATTGAATAATCTGTGAAATAGGGAAACTGTGTTCAAAAAGATATTCTTTGAAGTGTTTATAACCAAATTTGAAACAACCTAAAATTGGGAAATGATTAAGTAAATCATGCTAAATGCATAGTCCTTAAAAATATGTTAACAGAGTTTTAATAACATGGGAAAATGCTTAATTGCTTGCTTAAATTAATGCTTTCATTTAAGACAAGAAGAATTACATAATTATATATTGACACAAGCTCAATGATATGGAGACCATATAAGAAATATGCAAAATATAACAATGGTTGTCCCTAAATTATAACATATTATTATTTCTAATTATTTTAATTTTCTAAAGTTTTACAAAGAATATGGTAATTCTACAATTGGCAAAATTAAGTAGTCACTCAGAATAATTCATAAGGCAAAATGTTAATTAAATTGCATTGCATATAATTTCACTAGATCTACTGGAAGTAGATGTATAAACAGAGTTTAATGGGAGTAAATTTCAGTAAAGGAGAGATAGCGATTGTGGGTTATATCTCAAAAGTCATTAAGATATAGACAGATACTTACAGCACAACAATCTAGAAGACAGGAAGCAGCAATGACCTAGAACTTTATCCTCCCACTGGTACAGAGCAATTTTTCTGAGAAATAAACAGAGCACTATGTGTTGTTTACAGAATATTTTCATTGTAATGTGTACTGAAGAGAGCACAGACTTTGGAACAAAAGATTGCACCAACAACTAGTTATATATATAACATGTTTATAAATTAAAAACTAGTTACATATGCACATGCACAATTACCTACTTTGTGTGATTGTTATAAGGATTGAAATAATTTGTATAGGTATCAACCATAATGCCTGATAACAAAATGTATTCAATTGAAGTAGCTACAAGCTTGGCATCTAAGGGGTGGTAGGATCACTGGTTGCAGAGCAGAAAAATATTTAGCAATCAGGAATATACAATGAAGTCCCAAGAATTCCAACACAGACGATGCGGAATTTGAGATGAGTAATATTCAGAAATCTGTGCAGGCAGGCAACACCAGGGAATTTGATCAATGAGTAATATTAGCTAAAATAATGGATTTGAAGTGTCTGAGTTTAACAAATAACTTTATAAGTGTTAAAAATTAAAACCCCAACATCCTTGTAACCAGTAATAGGATTTAAACTTAAAAATTATCTATCTAGCCCAAGTGATACAGGTGCTTTCAGAAGTGCAAGGTTCAGTGGCATCCCCTGTCTTGCCATGCACAATATAAGCTCTTTAGCCTGGGATGTATGACATTGCACAGTCTGGTCCAATTGGGCTTTCACCTTTCTGACCACCATGCACACACTTTATACTGTTTGCTCCATGCATGCTCCTTTGTATGTTCCTTTGCTTCCTTTATAGATTTCCTCTGCTCATTGTTTTGTTGCTTCAACCACCAGATGAATGAACAATTAAAAAGATAAACTTACAGTATCAAATTATGCATTATTTCACTTAAAGTATCGAGGGAACAAAAAACAGCCTAGAAGTCTCTGAGTCTCTGTTGATGTTGCATAGATTAATTTTTGATGGCTTTTTTGTTCATATGTTTCTTGAAATAAACGTGTGAATTTCAAACCTGACATGACCATGTGCTTTGCAGCGGCTGCGGCGGCAGACATGGCTTACCACCACATCAGACCTCCCATTGGCTATTCCATTCCCAAGCCCATATCCTCTCTGCTGATGCGAGGGTGGAATGCATGTCCTGAAGTGAGTAATTTTTATTTCCTCTTAGAAAATGTGTTATGGTCAAAATCTGTCACAAATAGTGTAACTCCAAAGTCTACTTTCAGTGTGTATTTTAAGACTGTCAAGGCGGGAAGACTGATTTGCCTTCTGCTCTTTAGTCTCTAATTGCCTCAAGAAGTCTGAGTATCTCATATTTCTTTGCTGCTGCTCTCTGATTTTGAAATGTTTCTCTCAACTGATTAGTAAAAGAGAGACCAGGGTATGACAGATGACTCACAGTCTCATCTCAGCTGCAATTTTATTAACTACGCTTGAGCCACACTTAGTCATTTTCCGAAGAAGGAAACTTGGCACAAGATGGATTTGTGTTGGCTTTTAACCATGAGGCCGGCCTTCAGGCAAAGACTTTAGGGCAAATGGTCTTTAGTGGAGGCAGAAGACCTGGGTCCTAACCCTTCTCTAACTCTCTCTCTGAGTGACCGAGTGATAATGTGGTTAAAAGCATAGGCTCAAATGGAGGGATCAATGTTACAGAAGGAATAAATAAAGTAGGATATGTAAACAATAAAAAAGAAATTTTTAAATATGATTATGGATCTAAGAGAGTATAAGGAAAACAATCACATAAAATCACAGAATAAAATCCCAGACCATCTGCCTGTAAGAAAGAATTCTTAAGTTTACGGAGAGGTTGATGCTTGCTTTGTTCTCAGAGATTGACAGAGGAGATCCCACAACTCCTCTCCTGATAACACAGGTTGATCCATGGTCTAAGAATCCCTCTGCCAGTACATTTTTTGTATATTAAATTCCTTGTGTTTTGTTATCAGTCCATCTATTCTTCTGCTCTGAGTGAGGTATATTAGTTTGCATTCTTCACACTGGAGAGTCTCATACCTAAAGGCCCAATGGTTCTTATTTGTCTAGTCCAAGCCATACTAGTTATTATTGTCCTTTTCTTATACAACCTTGTTTCTGATCCTTAATAAGCACTTAATCTCTCTTCAACAAAAGAATAGATAAAATGAGGCTGTTATTATTTCAATTAATGTCTCACCAAAGGAGAAATAGAATAAGCCCTAGCTCAGATGTTTAGAAGGAGAAAACAAGTTTTCCACTCTGTTTCTAAAGGCAAAACCCAGACGCAGTCATTAATTACCTAATCCTACTTGTATATACAGAAACTCTTATGAAGAAAAATGAAGATTCTTATGGAATATGAATTATGTTTATTTCTTTGGAGTCTTCTTTCACTACCAAAAGGTTAGCTCCATAGGAGCAGAAAATTTGTATTTGTTTTGTTTTGTTTACTGCTATAACCCCAGCACCTAGAACCTAGCAGATGCTCAAAAATATTTGTTCAGTAAATGAATGAATACCACTATTACTTATTAGTACCTCCAATTTCCACATCTGGATTTTATATCCAGAAAGTTTCTTCTTGAATACTGTGTGACTTCAAATAGTTTGGGAAAGCCTTTCCTCATCTTTCAATATGAGCCTCAGGTATATTTTCTGAGAATAAGTGTGTCACATACCTAATCCAGAATTTCCTTCTGTCTGTGGGATATGAGCTATTTTATGTTAAACATAAAATAACAATCAAGGGAATCCTTTTCACATTTATTAACTGACTCTTCATGATTACAGATAAGGGACATGTGAAAGTTTTAGTTTGGAGATAAAAACAAGTCATTGGCAGATTCTAAAAGCACTTTTTTGGGTATAATGGGCAAATGCCTCAAATAAAAAGTTGGGAAATGAAAAACAGAAACTGAATAGGGCCAAAGGAAGGTACTATTCAGGAGAAAAAAAACATACCAAGAGGCCAAAAGTCTATTGCTTATTGGAAAAGTTGTAGTGCTAAGCAGTAAAATTATCAGCATAGAGTCTTTGCTCTGGTGAAGAGTTTCAGGAATAAAGATGAAGAAAAAGCATATTAGGAAAGAAAAGTCTTCAGCTGGCTGGCAACATCTGAGCTCGGCAGTCAGTTGGGCCCTGGCCTGGCTCTGGTGTCCACCTGCATCCACATGTGACATGACAGAGTCGTCATTGCATTGCCCAGTACGGTCTTCACCATGCCAATAGGCTGAGAAGTGAGGAAAAAGAACAATGGACTATTTTTCATTCTTTTCTTCAACAATTATTCATTGAGTCCCTACCAGGTACTGCCCATGGGTAGGTGTGGGGATTCAATGGAAATGTGCTTTCAATGGGGTTTAAGGCCTAGGAGCTATATGGACATTAATTAATTAAACACATTTATAATTACATGCCAAGATTAAGGAAGACAAGATTTTATGAGAACACTGTACTGAAGGCATACTAAGTAGCAAGTTGGAGGATAGAGAGTTCGTGTAGTTCCCAGAAGTGGTGACACTTGAGCTGAGATCATAAGCATAAATAAGAGTTTGCTTAATGAAGGGTTGGTGAGAGAGAAAAATAGTGCTAGTGGAGAGAACACGTGCAAATTCATTAGAGAAAAAGATCCAAGGGGGAGGATTATTAGTCATTGGAACATTGTAGCCACTAAGGGGTTAAATGTCTCTACATCAGGCATCATTTGAAACAAGTTCATCTTTAGATCGAAGACACTAACATCATGTTATCCTGTTCATTACTTTCTGGGTTATCAGTGTCACTACTTATTTTTTCTTTCATGTCTATCTTTACCTCATTCCTTGAATTTGAGGCATAGTATCTTCTCCAATGCATGTGTTTTTAGTCAAAACTCATAAAGATAGAACATAGGGGACAGTGAGAACACCAGCCTACTGAAAATGTTGGAAAGCAGTGAGAGATGAAAAAAAAGGACTGATATTTAGATGATATCAAATTTTGGGAGCCTCAAAAGCTGGAATAGGGAATTTGGACATGAAATTATAGACAGTTATATGTTATGTTTATCTCTAAAGCAGTGAAAAGATACAATAAAAGTATTTTTTTTTTGGATATTTCATCTGAAATTGGTATGAAGAATTGTTGGTAGTTCCTACAGTGAATCAAGCACTGAATTATCTTCTAGTGTTCGCTGGAATCACTGGGCATTGTTTCTTCATGTGTGGGCTGCAAACTTTGCATTTCAGATCACCCTGAAATGTTTATTAAAATGAAGATTTGGGGGCCCTAGCCTAAATCTACTTAATTAAAATCTCAGGGATGGAACCTGAGACTACGCATTTTAACAGAACCCCAGGTGATTTGTGCTCAAAAGAGGTAGAGAACTAGAGGTTTGACACTGAGCCAAAAGACACTAAAGTTAGATCAGCTAGCTGGGCTGCTGCTAACAGTCATCCAGTTGATTATGACACAGAGACTACAATGGTTACCATGGGGATTTAGGGACAAGGGTAAACCTGAGAACTATTTCAAAAGATACATCATAAACAGGTGAAAGGCTGGATTTCAGCAAGAGAAGAGAGAAAAGAGTCCAGGAGAACTGTCATTGCTGCCTTCTGAGAGCCAGCTAGTGACCAAGAACTCATTAGGCCCTTCAATATCAGGGATATTGTTGGCAGTGAGAGGGAAGAGAACAAAGCTAAGGGCCCTACAGTAAGGTGACAGTGCTTTTAAAAAATAGGAATAGGAAAAGGAAAGATAGCTACCAAGAAAAAAAAAGTAACCTGATCTACAAAGCTGAGGAAGTTGTCAATTAGAATAAATTTGTCATGTAAGAGGTTGGTATAGATGCCTTTCTCACCTTAAGAAAATAAAGTGAGATTGGAAAAGGTAGACAGATGGCATAGAAATTAAGCTCAGGCAGAGAGGCTGAACAAAAATAGAGGGAAGAGGAGTTAAAGTTAAAAGCAAGAAAATGTTGAATCTTAGTGAGAAAAGAGGAAGAAGAGGGATAATAATGTCAGGGACATTAAGAATAAGAAAGTTCTATCATTTAGCAATTCTGAATAGGAAGGGAAACTAAATAGGTGAGGCATGTAAACAATATTTACATTGTTCTAATAAACTTTTAGGGGTTTTTTGTTGTTGTTTATTTTTTGAGACAGAGTCTCACTTTGTTGCCCAGGCTAGAGTGCCATGGCGTCAGCCTAGCTCACAGTAACCTCAAACTCCTGGGCTCAACCGATCCTTCTGCCTCAGCCCATTATTTTCTTTCTATTTATAGTAGAGACAGGGTCTTGCTCATGCTCAGGCTGGTCTCGAACTCCTGACTTTGAGCGATCCTCCCACCTCGGCCTCCCAGAGTGCTAGGATTACAGGCATGAGCCACCACGCCCGGCCAACTTTTAGGTTTTATAAAGCTTGTTTTTTTTAATAATAATATTATTACTATGCCAAATGTAGATATAAAGATACAGAGACCTACACAAATATAGAGATAGAAGAAGAGGAAGTTTGTTTCCTTTTTAAGCTTTTATTCCCCCACTAGAAAATGTGAAATATTATAACATTCTATATTAAGAAGGTATGCTTTAAACATTTTACAGGGGTATCAATAATAAAATTGTTTGAGTATACCTATATTTTTCACGTAAGAGTGGGTTTGACTGAGAGATGTTTATTCTGTTATTGCTTTTAAATCTAATATTTACAAGCACGTTTAATTCCTGTGCACAAGGAGGTGTACTCATACCAAACAATAGTGGCATGCTAAACTCAAGAGATCAAACCTTGAAAGCTACGTGCTAATGGGTTATTCAGTTTTCAAAATCTTAAATTAATGACAATTGGCAATAAAGCTCCTTAAAATTCCTTTTGTTCAGGATCCATTGTGTTGATCTTGAAGCCCTGTTTGTTCTACCAAGATGATTGAAGCTGAGATCGCCACCTAGTGGATTTATAGGATTTTGCAGAACTTACAGAAACCGCTTCCTATCCCTGGGAAATCCTTAATTTTTTTCTCTTAGAGAAATAACAGGTTTTAAAGACTTCTACTTAAGATCTAGGATAATTGTCAACAGAACAATTGAAAATAGATGAAATATACCAATATACACATCAGCTAGACTCCAGTTAACAAAAGAAGCTGAATTTTCATTTCCATACCATAATTAGGAAAACAG